AAGCCTGGACTTCTCCCTCTAGATAGCTGGAGCTGGGACGCGTCATTAGCTAGCTCACTGGTCGTTGGTCATCGAATCTCGTTCTTGTTCGCAAATTTAAGTGAACTCGTTAAGCTTCAAACCTAACAAGTTCAAGCTCTGAGGTAAATGACGTTCTGCTAAGCAGTCTCAATACTTGGTCACAAAGTAATCGATTTCTAATCCTAGGGGACTTTAATGCATCAATGGTAGACTGGGAAAATCTGAGAACTGGATTGTTTGATAACTTTTTCGAGCAGAAACTAGTTTATGCTGTTATCACATGTGCCTTAGTGCAACATGTGAAAGAAGCAACTAGGTACGACCCGGACTCTGAATCAGCCTTACTAGATCTTGTATTGACTCACTATGAGAATGACGCTGCAAACCTCCTTTACATGCCACCCCTAGGTAAAAGTGATTAGGCAGTTTTAACTTTTGACTTCCATATAACTGCCAATCACGAGCAAGCGTCAGCTCAACCCAGGTCTAACGTCTGGAAAGCGAACATATGAGATATCATGCATCCAGCGTGGTCAGTAGATTGGACAATAAACCCAGAGTCCTCAATTAAAACGGCTTCGGATGCATTTCGAAATTTATACTCAAAAGTTACCGCACCCCACATCCCTTGGACTACACCAAGGGAGCTGAGAAACTCCCCACGATGGTTCAGTAGGGAGGTCCGCATCCTTCTCCGTAAGAGAAGAAAAATGCGGGATAGATTTAGGTTACTAGGGACTGATGAGACAAAATCTCAGTATCGAAAAGCTCAGATTACCTGTGCCTCGACCCTCCGTAAGTCTAGAAAGCTGCACGAAGGAAAAACTGTTAAGGAATCCATAGAATGTCCTAAACGCTTGTATTCCTATATAAACCAAAGGAAAAAAAGAAGAGGAAATACTCCTGCGCTGTGGGGAGACGGTACTGCCTCATCATTAGTAAAGGATGACTTTGGTGAGACTCAAGTATTCTCGAACTACTTTAGCAATGTATATACCATGGAAACACCCCATCAGTGCATGCAAATCCTCCCACACAAGCACTGGACAACGTGACCATAAAAGAACTCGATGTCTTTGGTCTGCTAAATAAGCTCGACATAGGCGAATACACGGGGCCCAATGAATCGCATCCTAGGCTACTAAGGGAATTATTTAACCTCTTTGTGAACCCTTTAAGTATATGCTTTAATCCGTCCTTAACTCAGGGTCGTTTACCAAAAGACTGGAAGAACGCCGTAGTAAGTCCTGTCTTCAAAACAGGTACGAAACATAAGCCTGAAAATTATCGACCCGTTAGCCGAACTAGTGTGGTTGTTAAAATCTTAGAAAAGATTATTCGGAAGGAGCTGTTTAAGTACCTCGATGTAAACTGGATCCTTTCGGAGAAGCAGTATAGTTGTAGAATAGGTTATTCTTGTCTCACTAACTTATTAGTCGCTCGTGAAAGCTGGGGCGCTCTTAAGGACCAAACGGTATCTGTAAACATAGCCTACATTGGCTTCAGCAAAGCTTTTGATATAGTTCCGCACAACCGACTGTTATATAATCTAAGAAATGTCGGGATTGGAGGCAATCTATTGATGTGGATAAAAGGCTTCCTAGCTGGGCGCCAACAAAGAGTACGGGTAAACTCAAAGTTATCTAACTGGGAAACTGTGCTTAGTGGAGTGCCCCAAAGTACAACTTTGAGGCCAATGCTATTCCTTTTGTATGTAAATGACCTTCCTCGCATGCTATCATCATCGGTCTTGTTATATGCTGATGATGTCAAGATTTGGAGAACGATACGATGTAAGGGTGAAAGCTTGGAACCCCAAAACGACCTGAAGAAATTATCTAAATGGTCTCGTACCTGGCAGCTGCCGATAAATACTTCCAAGTGTGTTGTGATGCATATCGGTCATCAAGGTACAGATACATACACGATGAAAAACACTGAGCCACCTGTTGTCCAGACACATAATGACTTAGGAGTCATCGTTAGCCAAGATCTGAAGACTACTGCACACTGCCGTGCAACAGCCGCCAAAGCTTTTAGAACTTTATGGTCAATACGTAGGGCTTTTACTCATATCGACGCTCAAACGTTTTGGACTTTGTATACAGTGTTCGTACGTCCTGAACTTCAGAACTGAATACAAGCGACAGCCCCCAGCTAAAAAAACTGTGAGTTTTTGGCCAAACCAAACCTATTCTCGCTGTCATATCGCAGAACTAGAGACGACTTGATTACAGTTTTCAAACTGCTTCGTGATAAATTCGCACCTGATGTGCCCTCATTTTTCTTGCCTTCCAAAACAGAATTTACGAGGACACTCCAAAAGAGTTCCCAAACCCAGGACAAAGTACTTGTCAGCTGACTATCGAGTTTCTCATCAAATCATCAACGAGTTTAATTCATTATCTCAGCACGAGGTTGAGGCACCATCCGCCGACTCTTTCAAAAGAAAGTTGGATCAACTGAGAGACCATCACTGTCTGGACTAACACAAGCCATCAAGCCTCCTGTCCTTTCCAAACTGAAACTGTTCATAAAAATTATATTTAATAGTCTGTCTGGACAAATATCATAATTGAGCCTCACTCGGATACTTACTACAAGCATTAATACAGGTTGATTATCCACTAACCTACTGAATACATAACGTTATCTCGGTTGCGGTTTTCATGGTTAAGGATATCAATCAAGTTTCGGTTAGAAGTACGAGTCGGTGATATGTTTAATTCCAACAGGAATAACCTATATCCGGAAAATGCAACTCTGTAATGCTACTGGATCCCAACTACACAATCTTCGAAGCCGAAAATTCGACAACTGAGAAGATTTGCGTTCAATATTTAGTACCAAAGAGAAGGTCAGAAATGGTGAACGCAAGAACAGTCAGTCGATTCGGTGTGACTCGGCTGTGCAGGCTCGATGGCTATGTGACTGATTCCTTTTCATACCAGACGTAATTTTCTGTCCCTAGCGTAAAGGTATTTTTCAGAAGTGTTAAACATCATATTGCAGACCGTCAAGTAAGAAGAGTCAGTGTAGACTATGATGTGAATTCCATGCAAGATTTTGTAGATTGGGTAGTCACATCATAACAAATCTACAATTGTGGAATGGATCTATTATTCTAGTGGAATAGATAAGTACGATGATAACGACATAGGCCATAACCCAATAACGCCACATGCATTTAAACTACTCTACTCCTATGGTTGACATTTATACTTCTACGACAACAAAAATACGACGGATGGGTTTGCGCCAATTAGGGTCAAGGTAAGCGCACCTCTTATCGTAAATGCTGTTGGCTTCCAGACGTCCACCTATAAATCAAAGACCAGATCTTTTAGATGGTAATTAGATACTCGGTAAGGACGCCAACTTATTCATCAGTGTCTATGGGACAGCGGGCTCTCGTCATCATATTGGAGAAACATGAAATAAAGATATATCTAACGGCTACGATTGCTATTAATTTGTGCTGGCAGTGGAATTTCCTGGAAGGTTCAAGGCCTAAGAAACTACATGGTCTTCGGCAATTTTAGGAAGGTTTACCATAATTGTTGTGGTACCAACACCAACTAGAATTTCCTGTTTCTCGCGGTCTACAAATAGATCATTATTGTGATAAGGTTCTTTAATAAGTTTTGGATCGTCTGTGATCATAGTGAGGGAAAGAAAACGAGAGATAGTGTTAGAAAGATCTTTAATATCGCTTTCTATTAACCGAGGCTTTTTTTGACAGAACAAACATCGATGTTGGAAGTTGTGCAGATCTCTGAAACCCCATCGACAGATGTAGCTAGTTCATCCACAGCGTTATTTTGGAAGGAGACGAGAACCGCTTACATTGGTTGTGGAAGCTTAGATAAAAGGAACTGTCTGAAAACATTTCAGTCTAATTTTGTTAATCAATAACCACTCCCATACGCAGCAACATTTCCGTTTCCGAGACATGTAGCAATTTTATATTTTAGAAGAGTTGATCTGATCTTTATCAATCAGCTAGATCTGCACTTTTAAGGATGACCTTTTTCAAAATGTCGTGAAGCTCGGAAACATCACTAGCAAATGTGCCTGGTGTAACGTGCTCGTGCTGTAATCCTTTCACTACTGTGAGGAATCGTCCTCATGATAGTGAACTTCTGTATCCCAGCACCAGACTTTGATATCGGCAGGCTAGTATGGTGTGAGTTAAAAAGTGAGGACGAGGGAGTCCTAGTCTTAAACGGTTGGGGCGTGAGCTCCGATATAATAAGCATAAAGTATTTAAATGTACGGAAAATGTAAAAACACAAGGTCATGCCAAGGTATGCAAAAGTACATATATATATGGCAAGGAACAGATACATAGGTCATCGTTTAATGCACCATCAAATATGTCGAACATATCCAGGGGCTGATAACTTTTTTATCTGTAGCATCTTTACAGCCGAGGATTCTAAAGCCAGCCACACCAGAATTAAGGAATGAAGGAGTCCGGGGATATATTTAGAAGTATAAGAGCTTGGCTAACCAGTTGTTGTGATCTTTTAGGAGTACAGCGTGTTCAATATCCCATGATTTCTTTACCTCGGTAAATCATTGAAACGTTCCACCATTAAGCTACATTTAGGAGGAGATTTACTCAAGACAAATAAGAAAGAGCTCGGATAAAAAATTGCAATGAACATTTTTAACAGCTCCATTCAAGAAGTTATAAAATTTCTTTCTAGAAGCCATAACGGTGAGATCTTCTACCATGCTTTATAAATAGAAATAAGTGTTTACTTTTAGTCATTTAGTGCCGATCGGGATTGATCTAGGTTTCATCTCTCGATCACTTCCATTAAAAACTAAATCGTTTTCCTGGAGAAATATGGGAGAGACCATACCTTTGTATAGCTAGAAACACCATTCTAATAAACAGACACAGATTCAAAGGAACCAATAACTCGACAGCTGTGCTCAACTATGTTCAAAGTACAATTAAATTTGAGGACTTCTAAAGAACCACGTATAACATTTTGTGACTTTAAAAAGCCAATTCACGGTAAAATTCTGTATTTATTCATAGAGGGAAGATTTAGTTATCATCCCTAAATTTCTTGTTTTAATTTGTCGAGTCCAAATCTCATTGTTGGGGTCAGTTGTCTTGTTGCCGAGTTTCACGTTAGCGTTTGGGGATGGTACGTTATTTCACTTGTTTTCATTTCGTTTGTTTATAAGTGGGTCCGGATGAGGGCTTTCAACTCTTTTCAATCGTCATTTTAGATGCCAGTCACATTATTCAATGCGGTCCTCAGACCCACACTTATCAATGTCATGAAAAGTTCAACTGTCAAATTTTCTCCAACAGCTGTTTCCTGCATTATCCCCATTAGCCACTTCCATATATCTTCTGTCCGAAAAGATATTGATCAAGCAGCCAAATATATTGGTGCTGGTGCGGCTACTGTTGGATGTGCTGGATCTGGCGCTGGTATTGGATCTGTATTTGGAAGTTTGACTTTGGCATACGCTAGAAATCCTGGTCTAAAACAACAACTATTTACCTACGCTATCCTTGGTTTCGCTCTGAGTGAAGCAATGGGTCTGTTTTGCCTGGTGATGGCTTTCCTCATTCTATATGTTTTCTAAGGATGCGTATATCCTCATGTACCTAGGCCTATTTTCCATCTCAACCAGATTTCTGGTCCAAATATGGATGTAAGTCCATTGTGCAGATAATAGACTTTAATACTAGCGAAATAAATTGTTATAGACTTGTTCCTCTTTTTTATGTACGGTATTGTATATGGAATGGTCGCGAAGCTATTGGACCGTACTAGTACACTGTCACGTTGATTTGTATTAGTGATAGAAAGCTTTAGTAATCTAGAAATCCTTTGGATTGAATTGCTGTGTTCGTTAGTTGAAATATGCTTCTATAGATTGGGGGTCTTTAATCGGAAGTGGTCAAAGCCTTCGTCTTACGATTAGTTATATAAAAAGTTGCTTGTGTGGTTTCTTCATAGATGTGGTTGATGTGTGGGGACTTAAAGTCTGTTCCTACGTTTTATCCAGATAGTCAAGGTGAACGACGTTTTTTTTTGTGCAGGCCACATCGCAAAAGGACGAAACCACTTCAGGTAGCTTCACTTCAACCATGTGATTTTCCCTATTTGAAGAGACTAGACTCATATAAAATTATAACTTATGAACGACTTTTGAGCGATGCTAAAGTGACTGAGTGTCCACCTAGTGACTAAGGTTGAATGAGGGTTATAAAGCAGTTTGAAGAATGAGGATTATGATTCATAGTTTGTGGTTAGTTAAGAATTGAACATAGGGTTTTTATCACGAACTGACATCAGCTATAATCCCAAGACGCTATTTGCCAAATGGGTGAGCGAATTTCGCGCCACATTACAAAACCTGTTATATCTGATTTGTTCGTCTGTAAATTATGGTCTCGCCAAGTTTCAACATGGATTTGTCTCAAGATGTTCACGTTCTGGTGACTTGTTAAAATCATTATAGGTCAGCTGTGTCTTCTTAACGAATGTTCATATGTATCAGGTCCCCAAGCGTGTCTTATTTCTGAGCAGTCGATAGGACTGCGGCGATTGTTTGACGCTCATAATATTAAGGCTTTCTAGCCTTCAGTAATAAGGACAATAGGTTGATGGATCTGTGTTAATCCTGACAGACTGCCTCCCAGTGAAGGTCCAGCTTCATGAAAGTATCCACTGATTGGGCTGATACCACTTGTTCGAGTAAGGCGTTCCAGACTTACAGCTGGATGGGAAAAACGTGACCCTACTTTAGGTTTACTAGATCACGGTTTGTGAATCTTCTTGCTATGACTTCGGAGATTATTAGTGCTGGAGGACGCAAAGAGATAAGGCATGTTAACACCCAAATCATAACCAAAGATACGAGATGCCAGTATAGGGTCACCTCGTGTCCTACGATACGACAAGGGGAAAAGGTTTAGGCGTTTTAAACGCTCATCGTAAGGGAGTTTAGAAAGACCCTTCACTAATTTCGTTCTCACACGCTGGACACGCTCAAGTGAAGTAGTATCCTTTACCAGACATGCGCTAGCTGCTTGGATACAGTACTCTAAATGTGGTCTTACATAAGTGGGATATAAAATTCGAAACGTTTCCTCGTCAAAGCATTTCAATGCACGGCGAAGTAATCATAACTCTAAAGTAGTACACTCTAAGCTCTATGGATTTATAGTATTCAGGTTTATGGTGTACTCAGTGTGACTACAAGTTAATCTGAACAAATTAAAAGTCAAATAATAATCTTTACAATGATAGCGAAGTGAATATCGTGTGTATGTATCAGGTTTTTTCCCCAAAGTTAGTTGAAAGAAACAGCTGTTTTAAACCAAATTAGAAGCATCGACTATGTGGTTAGAGCGTTTGGCTTTCAACCGCTAGAACACGAGTCCGAACTCTGCCTCATCTAATTGGCTTAAGTGTCCTATTGCGTCACTAGCCTTCAATTATAAATTGTTTGAGTACGTTAACTTATATTTGGTAAGTGATTTACAGGTTGTATAAAGTTAGAAAATTTATATTGTTTCAAGAATGATGTGCTTCGTAAGTAAATTTGAAGGGGCAGATATTCTGTTTTGATGCATATTAGCTCTAGCAATGAATTCCAACGAATATTAAAGATCACTGGTATCTTCTAGAGTATACTAGAAGAATCTAACAGATTAAGCATTTAACATTACAATGTAAAAGCTACTTAATCATCACCAAATAATTTACGGATCAGTTACTTTGTCTATCCGATCCCAGTAAATCGTTACAAAAATCATCAATGCAAATGCAAAAAATCGTTAGACATATAAGACAACAATTGTAGGGTTTGTGTTTCTCATTCACTAATTCGATTAAGCTTTGGAGTCATGCAATATTTTAAAGAAGCTAGTGGCTTTCAAATTGACAAACTTAGTGTTTTCCAGAAGCTTAATGGGAGTTTATGTGTGTATTTACAACCAATAATACTGATCAATTGTGAGCGTTTCATTCTTTCGGTTTATATCGGCTAGAAAAAATATTGAATTTCATGTCAAAATTTGGTCTCTATTCACTAGGCAAGATAATTTTTCCAAAATAGAAGTAGAATTCGTTTATTGGCCTGTTTTTACTTTATGTGAAAAAGGAAATCCGAAAAAATATCCAGTGTATATTTTATGGGCAGGGGAAGAACTTTTCTCTTATTTATTGATCTTCCTTGTTTCCACCAATCAATAATTACAAGTTTCCTAATCAACTGCACAGAAAACAAACGAAAAAATACAGCTTCAGGGTTATTGTTAAATATTCCATTATACATAGAGAAGGTTATTGTTGATTTTTTACTTATGAGCAAATGTAAATTATAATATCTGTTTTCCAAAAATCAAATGATGAAAATATGATTTAAAACTGCCTACACGAGAATTTATAGTATCTTTGGAAAAGTTTCTGTATAAGGGTCTTCTGTTTATAACGTTAATAAATCAAACTTTGGGGGGGGGGTCCAAAATATCTAATTAACCATCAAAGGGACTTTCGTGATATCATTATGCTACTGGAACATCTTATTACTATTTGACAATCAAAAGTGTAAAATGAGATTTTGTAAATCAAGAATAATGAACATTGTGAAATGACGTGAACTCAGTTCATTTTACACTTTCTAGATTTATATACATACTGAGTTGTGTCAATAAAGTGTTTTACAGACGCAATATGATGTGTAAAATTAGGTCATTTGACGTTCATTTGGTTCAGTTAACTATATGACATGAGACTTAAAACCTGAGGTCAGGACTTCCACTTGTCTGGTTAAACTGATATTAGAGAATTCATAACATGCATGTGTTAAAAATGAATAGCGAAATAAGTGCAAGTTACCAGGACCTTGGTAAATTAAGGGATCTGACATTCCCCTTCTAAACATAAATTTCAGGTTTTGAATTAACGGATTGCCAAAGCTTTCTCTATGAAAACGTTTCCTTTTTAGATTCTCTTAAGACCAGTTTTTCTGACTGAATAATCTTGTAAGACTGGCGTAGATAGATGACCACAATGGACTACGTGCCCAACAACAGAACTAGTGATTTGTTTGCACTCACGTTCGGATAGTTATGCTGAGTAGTGTTCGCATATGTTCTTAGAAGGACTACGCTTGTAAGGCCAATCAATATAAGATGTCCACTGGACCAAGTAAACTAGTAGATATATATTGATCTGAACCAAATCACGAATTTATACTTAACACATCCTTAGACTAGGTGTCAGCTGGAGAAAACAATCCAAATTTCGGTCGAATGAAAGGTCTTACTTCTGTGATTTTGACAACTGGTTTCTTAAGATCTTTGCATTTTTATCCCTTTTGAAATCAATAAACATAAATGAAATCGTAGATGCTGTAGGGGTCCTTTTAATTTTGGGTCTTGATTCCATATTCTCTTCATAAAATTTGGAAAGAAATCCACTCTTCACAAGTACTTTACAGAATTTGTTCAATTCGCTGCAGATTCTCCTAGCTTTCAAAGACAGGAAACGTATCAAATTTTTCCGAATTCGGAAGTAACGAACAGATTGTCAATAACTTGTATTCTTAAATTTGTTTCTAATTAGAATGTTGTAGATACTCAAATCTTAAAAAAACATTTCGTTTAATTCCATGTAGTTTATCTATCCCCTCTCGCTATATACATATGGAGTTTTCGGTTGTTTCACTTTTTTTCTTTCTTTTTAAAAGAAACTTGTTGAAATATGTTGTGCTGAGAATCCTATATTGTACCAAAAGTATAACACTGAGCAAAGCCAATGATAATAATAATTTGTATGTTACTCATTCCAGGTTGGTTTTCTATATGTCAATCTTTGTAGAGATCCTCTTGATCTTTAGAAAAGTAATACCGGCAAAATGAAATTCTACGCTCAATTCTAAATAAGGTCTAAATGTAGTCGACTGGCAGCTGATACTGAACGCTGGCATTATGTTATTAAGGTCAGTATTTTCATCATAGACAGAGAAGGTATCATTCACTCATCCCTTACAGAAATGGAAACCTTCAATTGTTAATCAAAGATTAGCATTCTGTAGATTGGCTTCGAAACAGCTTACTAAGAGCGGACCCACTGGAGATGCCATAACAACATCAATTTTGTTGTAGAATTCATCGTTAGATTTGAATTGTACATTAAAAGGGCAAAGTAGTAGTTCCTTAAAATGACATTTTTGGAATACCGATGTTGATGCTGTTATTCCTAATGTATTCACATAAATAAATTGTCTCTGTGAGGGAGACATTCATGAAGAGAGACGCAACAGCCAATAATATCATTTCCTTCCCAGATACACTAATATAACCTATTGAATCAACAAAATGAACAGAAGAAGGTTTTATCTCTACTGTTTTAATTTGTGCCTGTTAGAATAATTCCCACCGACCACTTGATGGTTGCATGGTATAGGAAGTTATTCATGTCTATTATAGAATTAAAAAAATATGTGTTTCCTGTGTACTTTAGAGAAATCATACAGTTGTGGAACGACTGGTCGAGACGGTTTAAATTATTCATGGAGGTCTTCACCAATTAAATTCTGTAGTTTTTGTTAACTTCCGTCCTACTTGTTCAGCATCATCCTTCTGAATTTTTTCTATCAAAAGCTTTTTGTTATTAAATAAAACAAAGGGTACTTTGAAATGTAGTCATTACGGTTCGTCAGAACAATCTAATCTGCATTGGTGCCTGTTAGCCTTC